ATGTTTGGAAGTCCATATTCATTAGCCTTCAATACAAATTTTAAAAAACAGTATAGCCTATTGGATATAAGAACAGATAAAAATTAGATAATCTGAATGTCCATTAACTGTCAAATGGATAGATTGTGCTACTCATACAATAGAATATTACATAGTAATAAAAATTTAATGAACTCTGGCTTCATTCATCTGGATGGATTTTAAAGTTTTTCAGCAAAAGGTGATGGAACATGAATATAGTATGACTCCATTTATATAACACTTAAAAGGAGGCAAAGCTAAGCAGTGCAAAAATACAAATACAAACAAGGGAATGACGAACAGAAAACCTAGAATAGTGGTACCTCTGGAGGAGGGAAGTGAATGTATCAAAGAGGAGCTATAATGAGTATCAAAGTTATGAGTAATATTTTATTCTTACAGAGAGGTGGTGACTACATGGGTATTAATTATTCATCCTTAAATGTATACTTTGTACATACTCTGAAGAAAATTGGAGGAAAGTAGAGACCTGTATGTAGACAACTCTTTTTGAAGAGGCTTCACCTTGATTGGGACAAAAATGAAAAATAGTGAAAAGATGTGAAGGTTTAGATTTTATTGTGCTCTTATACTTTTTAAGATAGGAAATAAGAGCTGAATAGTGTAGAAAGGTTACATTGGAGAGAAGTTGAAGAAACAAGAAAGGAGAAAACTAATGTAACAAGTTAACTTAAATATTCGGAAGGACAGTCCAAAGCACACCTGAAGAGATCAACCTTTGAAAGGAGGTGGGATTCTACCTAATTTCAATCAAAGTGGAATAAAGAAGAATAGAAACAGGTGAGTAGATTTATACATTTGGTGATGGGAAACCAAGGTATATTATATCAGATGGCTTGTTCCTCCTCTTGAATGAGGAAAGATCATTAGCTGAAAGGAAAGGATCAAAGTGGTTTTCAGAAAAAGTGAAAGTACCTGAAAACAAATTGACCACAGGTAAATGCAGGTGCTTTCTTGGACATTTTACCTTACCTATTTCCTTTGTCTCTGTCTGCAATGTATTTCCTCTTCACTTTTTTCCAGTCTTCCCATCCTTCAACACGCACCACATCTTCTGTCCTCTGCAAACTTTTCTGACTATTGCATGGTAATCCTTTCCTTAAATCTTACAATTGACTGTATCACTCATGTTTCACTTACTTACAGACTGTCTTGCAATAACTCTTTTGTATTGTACATGAGTTTTTATATTGTCTCCTTAACTACAATTCTTTCATTGTAGCAAAAATGAGGGCAGAAATTGTCTTTCATTAAACACTGTCCATCCTTTCAGGAAAAATGTATTCTCATACACAGTGAACACCTGGATGTATTTTCTAAATATGCCATCTACTGAAACAAATATCCTTAAAGGAAATAAAATAACTGAAAGTGAATTTTGAAACCTCTATTATTTTTTTTGAGGTTTCATGGAAGGTTTTATTTTAATTTAATAAATCTTTATTGTTCAGTTTATTACAATTGTTTTTCCGCCTCATAGCTCACTTCCATCAGGTTCCTACCCCACCCTTTGCCCTTACCTCCCTCACTGTCCTCATCCTTAGTTGTAGTCCAGTCTCTTCCCGCATCCCCACTGCCCTTTTCCCCTTAGAATTGTCAGTCCACTCCCTTTCTATGTCCCTGATTCTATAATATTCACCAGTTTATTCTGTTCATCAGATTTTTTATTCCCTTGTGCTTTTTATTCACTTGTTTATAGATACATATTTGTTGTTCATAATTTTTATCTTTGCCTTTTTCTTCTTGTCCCTATTTTTAAAGAATACCTTTCAGCATTTCATATAATTCTAGTTTGGTGGTGGTGAACTCCTTTAGCTTTTTCTTACCTGTGAAGCTCTTTATCTGCCCTTCAATTCTGAATGAGAGCTTTGCTGGGTAATCTTAGTTGTAGTTTCTTGCTATTCATCACTTTGAATATTTCTTGCCATTCCCGTCTGGCCTGCATAGTTTCTGTTGAAAAATCAGCTGACAATCATATGGGTGCTCCTTTGTAGGTAACTGTTTTTCTCTTGCTGCTTTTAATATTCTCTCTGCCTTTTGCTCTTGGAATTTTAATTATGCTGTGTCTTGGTGGGGTAGTCTTTGGATTCCTTTTGTTTGGGGTTCTCTGCCTTTCCTGGATTTGTATTTCTTTCATCAGGTGGGGGAAGTTTTCAGTCACTATTTTTTCAAATAGGTTTTCAGTATCTTGCTCTCTCTCTTCTTCTGGGACCCCCATAATTCTGATGTTGGTATGCTTGAAGTTGTCCCAGAGGCTTCTTACACTATTTTAAACATTTTGGATTCTTTTTTCTTTTTTCTTTTCCAGTTGGGTGTTTTTTACTTCTTTGTATTCCAAATCTTTGACTCCGTTTTTGAAATCCTCTAGTCTGCTTTTAGGTCTCTGTATATTTTTTATTTCAGGCAGTGTATGCTTAATTTTTAGTTGATCCTTTTTCATATCCTCTAGGGTCTCATTAAATTTATCAGCCTTTTCTAGGAAATTCTTGAAAAACCTTATAACTGTGGTTTTGAACTCTCTATCCAGTCATTTACTTTCCTCCATTTCCTTCATTTGTGACCTGCCTCTTTGTTACCACATTTTGACTGCTTCCCTGAGTTGATGGAGCGGCTTTGTGTGCTAGGTGTCCTAGCAGGGCCCAGTGGCTCAGCCTCCCCAGTTACCTGAGGTGGACACTCTTTGTGAGCTGTGTGTGCAGTCTTATTGTAGTTAAGCCTAGATTGTTAGTATCACTGTGGGGAGTTAACCTCCAGGCCAATTTGGCTGTGATGATCAGCTGTGACTCCGCTGGGAGAGCTTCTGTGCTCAGCGGAGTCTCAAGGCAAAGCAGACAGCCTTGGTTTCCCATCAGCCCTGCCCTATGAGGCCCCTCTGTCTCCGTGTCCTGTGGCAATGGCTGCAAGCACCTCTGAGAGAAGGCTGCCCTGAGATTCGCCCTCTGCCAAACAGTCCAGTTTCTCCCCGAATGAGTCTAGGTATCCAAAGTCTCACTCAGAACTGGATTTCAGCACAGTCGGGAGGTTTTGTTTCCCTCCTGAAAGAGAAAGCTAGCTTTGCGCTTGCTGCCTGCCCTTTCTGCATGCCGTGAGTAAGCCAGCCACGTATTCTGCATGCAGGACTCCATACCTCTGTCCTCCACAGCTCCTCTGGGTCTCAGTGTCCTTTTATCTTTCTTTCTAGTTGTAGAATTTGCACTCAGTCAGTTTTCCAGTGGTTCTGGATGATGTCCACTCTGTCTTACAGTTACATTTTTTTAAATTGTTGAACGAGATGGCAGTATAGGTGTTTACCTATGCCACCATATTGGTTTCTTTCTCAAAACCTCTATTATTCTATAACTGCTCCTGGTTTTCAGTTTTTGGTTCTAGAACTTTGTTTTATTGTTGACAGCATTACAGATGTCCTTAATTTACACACATCCTTTGCCCACCTCCACCAAACCTCTGCCTTTTCAGAAGTTAAGACAGAAAGCCAAGGTTAACACATAATTGGTTTGCATGTTTTAAAAAATTCATGCTCATTAAGCTATTACTTTTTCTTACAATTTTTTGTCTAAAGTTCTACATATGTCTCCTTTTTCCCCAATAGACCCCCTCTCCTATCCCTTCCCAGCTCATGCAAGCCCCCACCACCCCAGTGTCTGTGTCCACTGGTTATGCTAATGTGCATGCATATTAGTCCTTTGGTTTCTCTCTAACCCTCTCCTCCCCTCCTATTTGTCTATAGATCGATCTATTCTTGTTTATCAAATTATGTTGATCATTATAACCCACATATCAGTGACATCATGTGATATTTATCTTTCTCCGCCTGGCTTATTTCACTTACATAACACTCTCCAGTCCATCCATGCTGTTGCAATTGGTAAAAGTTTTTACAATTTTTATTTGAGCTAGCTCTACCAAAAAATGAGGTGAAATGTTAATCAGCGAAGACAAATTCTGTTAGGAAATCCATCTTGTGGTTGAGAGTAGTTCCTTATACTAACAGTTCCTTTCAGTGACCATCTTTAATTCAGAAATAGAACATCCAGCAAATTCACAAATTTATGGTTAAAATGTATTACTACTAGAAAGAAAAATTAAATATGTGCATCGAGTGTGGTTTTAGTTGTCAAAAGAAAAGGAATGCTCATCAAAAAGGAGGACAATATGTACAGAAGAATGGACTCCACATAATATAGGGAAACTGGTACCTACAACTATAAACATACTTGTAATAAAACTATTCAAACACACTGAATTTTGGGAAAAAATTCTCTTGAAATAGGTAAGCCATTTTATTTCTGAATCCACTTCGAAGTAGGTCTGTTGATTATTATATCCTGGATTTAAATCATGTGACCTGATTTTCAAACTACATCACTCTAACTATAAACATCCAACAGAGAATAGAAAACAGAACACTTATTTAATTTGGATGGTGTCACTTACACATAATTATTTGTAGCCCAAATGGATTCTGAGTTAAAAACACTGGCTCTATCTTCGCAGATAACCTACTTCCTCCATACAAATTAGCCATTTGAGCAGTAAAGTATGTTTCTCATCAGAAGAGAACAAGTAATGGTTATAAATGTAGTAGTTGTGAACAACTGTGTTTAAATATTTTAATTGCCAAATTAAATACCAGGAATTTTGGTCCACCTAAAAGTGGGGGTAGGAAGTGAAAATTGATGTATCCCTCGTGAGTAAACAGAACAGCACAATAGCACAAGGGTCTGTGCACTATGCTACCTTTTTGCCACCTCTAGATTAAGTGACAGGTACCTTTTAAGGATCCAAGGAGCATGTAGAGGTAGAAAGTTCAGTCCTAGAGGTTAGGATATTGAAATTCCAAAAGATAATAATATAGACATAGCTAAATTTAAAAAGAAAAAAACTATTGTACTCCAAATAAATTTTTGTGATTTATTATTGCATGGTTATTAACAAAAAAATTATTTTACTCAGAAAACTTACATGAATTGATTTTGTATTAGTTTTTCCACATGACTCTTCAGGACATTCTCATCAGCTGCACAAACCTGATACTCCATCTTCTCTTGCTGTTTTGTCCTCTCCAATAAAGCCTCATGTAGTGGAGGTAATGCATTGTATGAACTCAATAAATAAAGCCGACTTGACAAAGTTTGGTTTATTTCTTGAATCTTTAAGGCCTTCATGATAGCAGGTGCAAACTTGGAGTAATGAGCTGTCGATGTGACAATCACTGGGCACGTTTTGTCTTGCATTCTATCTGCAACCACTTTTGCAATGGCAGTGTGTGGATCCAAAATATACCCGGAATTGTTGTAGGTGGAGTGAATAGCTGCTATGCACTCTCCCTCAGAGCACCAGTCGGCTACAAAATCCTGCTGAAGTTTCTCAACTAGATTCTTTTCTATCTGAAAGTGATGCTGCTCTTCTAATTGATTAAATAATTTTGTCACTAATTGTCCATCTTTATTAGCGAGCAAGTGTAAATGTCGTTCCAGGTTTGAAGATTTAAGAATATCTATTGCTGGTGAGAAAGTTTGTGCTAATTTCCTTTCTCTTAGGTCATAATGTCCTGTTTTTATAAAATCAGTCAAAACATGGTTCTCATTAGAGGCACAAATAAATTTTCGAATAGGGATTCCCATCATTTTGGCATACACTGCGGCTAAAATGTTACCAAAGTTTCCTGTGGGAATACAGACATCCACTGGGCTTCCAAAGGAAATAAAGCCTTGGCTAACAAGATCGAGATATGCAGAAGCATGATAAACTACTTGGGGAAGCAATCGGCCCCAGTTTATGGAATTTGCTGAACTTAAGATTGTTCCATATTCCACAGTAAGAAAGCCAGTAAAGTCAGAATCTTTAAAAATTCTTTTTATAGCTGTCTGGCAAAAATCAAAATCCGACTTGACACCCATTGCCCATCCATTTTCTTCCTGACTGCCAATTATCTGTGCTTTTTGAAAATCACTTATTCCATTCTCAGGGAAAAACGTGGCCACAGCTATTCTTTGCTTGTCATTTTTATTAAGATTACTAAAACCATTTAAGACAGCACTCCCTGTGTCTCCTGAAGTTGCTACAAGTATCATATAATTGCAACTGGGTGGAATACAGTGTGCAAAAAGATGAGGCATAAGCTGTAAAGACAAATCTTTAAATGATCCTGTTGGTCCATAAAACAACTCCAGGATGAACTGGTTGCCTGAAAGATGCCTGACAGGGGCAATTTTTGAGCAGACAAAGTTTTCCCCATAAGCACTTTCAATCATTTCTCCCAATCTGGCAGCAGGTATGTCAGTGGGATGTATACACTTTTCCAACAGTATTTGTGCTCTTTCTATGTAGGTTGCTCCTACTAATCTTTTCCACTCCCCAAAACTTAATTTTGGAAATTCCTTCTCAGGAACAAAGAGTCCACCATCAGATGCTAAACCTTCAATCACAGCTTCACTAAAGAATTTTGTCGAAACCTTCTGTTCACAGTCTTTAGGCCAAATGTGTCTTGTTGAAATGAATGTTTCTGAGTCCACATCTTGGTATCTTTTAACTTCATTAAGCACTTTGTCAGCTACCTCCTCTGGGGTAGCCCCAATTTCACAAAAAACACGGGTATCATACCACTTCTTATAATACTGCTTTCTAAATTTAAGTAAGTCTATCATAGTTGTCCCAGAATTCTGACCTACAATCCTATCTATTTTCATTAATTTTAGACGGTTAACTATATCTATTAGAGGTACATCCAGGTATACAATTATTCCATTTTTCTTCAGATGCCACATGCTAGTATCATGCATTGGGTTAGACCCAGTAAGGGAAATCACACTTCCAGATGTAGAGAAGTTTAACACAGCTTTTCCTTCCTCTTCTAAAAATTGTTCATTACCAACATCCTGTAATTTTTCAGACACACTCATATTCCAGGTTTTTTCAAGGATATCATCATCCACATCTATGACACAACAGCCTAGTTTCAGCCCTATTATTCTGCCTACTGTTGTTTTCCCAGCTCCAGGCAATCCCATCAGGATAATATTTTTGTCTCCAACAAGAGAGTGAATTGAGTGACATGACTTCCTTAATTCTGCAAGTGCAAAGGTTCTTGAAAGATATAGCTGTGCATGTTTATCCGTTTTAGCATGTATAAAGGAAAAACATTTCTGGGTTATTTGTTTCAGATGTTGACATCGGTGAAAGTGGAGCATTCTCTTTTCACTTTTTTCTTTTGCCAAAGCCAATCTAAAAACTGGCTTTAATCCTTTTCAAAACATAAAAACAAGAAAGGACATTTGATTACTAATTTCAACAGACTTAAAATCCTCACAGGAGTGAATATAACATGTCCAGAGTACATAAACTATTTTAAAATCTTCCAAATTTATGGGATATTTTTTTTAAAGTATTTGAATCCAGCCGAAACCGGTTTGGCTCAGTGGTAGAGCGTCAGTCTGCGGACTGAGGGTCGCCGGTTTGATTTCGGTCAAGGGCATGTACATTGGTTGCAGGCACATTCCTGGTAGGGGGTGTGCAAAAGGCAGCTGGTCGGTGTTTCTCTCTCATCGATGTTTCTAGCTCTCTATCTCTCTCCCTTCCTCTCTGTAAAAAATCAATAAAAATGTATTTAAAAAAAAAAAGTATTTGAATCCAAATTCTCATATATTGCATATTACATCTTTAAAAATGTTTTCAAATCTCAAGACACTGAATACTCAAAACTTTAATAATTTGTAGCAATTAAGCAACAGATACTTTATTCAGAAAATGCCATTATCATAGGTGCTTTTTGAAAAAAAAATACTAAATCAAATTAGTATTTCTTTATCCTGTAATGAAAATTGTTTTATGTTTTATAACCCATATAATAAGGGTTATTTAATGTTGGAATGTTAGTTGCTTAGAATTCACAAAAAGATGATTGTTTTTATATTTAACTTCTCTTTAGTTATATGAACATGTTTATAGACTATCATGTTACTCATACATTTCTTAGATACAGTATTCACAACAAAAAACCAGGATAAAATATTTGCTTATAAAATGCTTAAATAACTTTCCAAACTATCGGGCACAGGTATGATCTTTTATTTCTAGGTGACTTTTCTAGGCATACTATTAAGAATCATTCTTACACATTCTTCATATTGAAGACCTTTTAAAATAAGCTAGAATGAAAATTATAACATTATGCAAATAGTTAAAGTGATGATAGGCAGCAAGGTCAAAGGCCACATATCTATAACCTTATCTGCATGGGACCATCACTTTGGTCTCTGTTCTATAAACATCTTCAGTGAAGAGACTTAATTCAAATTCCAGACTCCAGAGTGATAGATAAAAAAGAATGTTATCAATGACAAGAGGGAAAACTTATTTTGGAATCCAAAGCAGCTTTGGATACTGTTCAAATTCTTGCTTTTAGAAATATACTCACCATTAAAACATAAATGTATGCCAGACAAGTAAAAAATTTAGTCACATGTAAAATTCAATAATACTTCTGCAACATTCATTTAAATTGACTAAGATAATTTGACCACTATACAGTGGGACTTTTCACTCATTCTGTAGTAGAACCAAAATGCAACTAAACCATATTAAATGTTAGATGATACACTTAAATGTTCTGAAAACTTTAATTTACTATTCTGATTATCAATTCAACTCAAACTTTGTTCTATAATTAACCATTTAAGCCATTTTAAACTAACACTGAATTTAATTTATAAGTTAAATTGCAACTGTCAAGAGAAGGAATACATTTCTTTATTTGGCTTTTCAACTTATATGTGTTGTGCTTAACTCCCAGTGACTTGTAAACATATGATACACACGTACCAATCTTGATGAAGAGTTTGCAGATGCTGAGACAAAGTCAATCTTTGCAAAAGAAAGTGGAGTCTATAATGGAAAAAATGTCAAGTTAATCATAACTGCATACATTATCACAAAATTCCACACGTAGACTATTCTATTATTACAATGCCCATTTGAAATATTTAAAGTGCAAAAAAAAAATGGATCCTTTTCACGTTTTCCCAAGTCTGTTATTAAAAGATGAAGATACTGCTTTTTTCAACAGTATCTTATCATAGAAAATAATTTTACTAAACCATATTGAAGAAATTTCTGCCATCAAGCTATATAAAATACAACCAAATAATAAAATATATAAAATCTTTCATAATGACACCTAAAATTTTAAGAATTTAATTGTATATTTAGCGATCAGAGGAAAATAAATCATGGAATAAAGCTATGAAATGAGAATCTGAATCAAGACATAATTTGCATCTATTAATACACACTTGTAAAAAGCACAAATGAAATGAAGCACTTGCCACACACAGGTACCTCTTAGCCCATTTAAATTAATTTGTAATAAATTCAAAGCATGTATCATAGTGGCTGGCACACAGGGATATTCATATGTATAGTAACATTAATCATAGTCACTCAGTGTCAATGGGCTAAAAAGATATAAACTGAATCAGGATTTCTTAGCACAAAGATTAGGCATATTTTGTAATGGTCTTGTTTATTTATAAGCCTTCAAAGAAAACAGTGGTACTCATGTGTAAATTAACTGTTTTGACATAAGATACACAGTCTAATCCTTTGCCTAGAGTAAACCAAGGACCAGAGAACTGTATGCTTAAACCATATCAGCAACTGCTTTTATTAAATTGTATTCTAATATTATACACTAGCTAATTTTGAGGGACTGTATATAAGACAGCCTTATTAACCTTCTAATCAAAAGACTTTTGCTTATAAAACCACAATGTCTTCTTTTTTTATTTCCCAATGCATAATTTTTGATGTATTAGTAATAATTCCATATTACTTGAATAGCTGGTTTGTTTTTATGGACATTTTGTCTTTTTTTTTTTTTTTAATCCTCATCTGACAATATTTTTTTTTAATTGACTTTGAGAGAGAGAGAGAATGAATATGCATATGAGAGAGAAATATCAATCAGTTGATTCCCATACCTGCCCCAACCAGGGATGGAACCCACAATCTTTTGGTGTATGGGACTATGCTCCAACTGAACCACTTAGCCAGAGCTGGACACAAGTCTTTTAACTGATCTTTCTTCCACTTTATGCTGGTTACTACAATACTTAATATCAATTCCATTAAAAGAAGACTGTAACACAAACGTGTTAACGTTACTTTATCTTTTGTAGCCCTACTTTCCCTTCTTTAATATGAATTTAAAATAGAAAATTGTGGCCCCAGCTGGTTTTCTCAGTGGATAGAGCATTGGCCTGCAACTGAAGAGTCCTAAGTTGGATTTTGGTCAAGGGCACATGCCGAGGTTGTAGGCTCGATTCCCAGTGGGGGTGTGCAGGAGGCAGCCAATCAATGATTCTCTCTCATCATTAATGTTTCTCTCTCTCTCCTTCTCTTCCTCTCCGAATCAATAAAAATAAATAAATAAGTAAAATAGAAAATCATGGTCCTGGCTCGGTGGCTCTGTTAGTTGGAGTGTTTGTCCCACATACCAAAAGGTGGCGGGCTCAATTCCCAGTCAGGCACATACCTAGCGGTGATGCATAGAGGAGGCAATGATATTTCTCTCTCCCTCCTCTCTCTCTAAACATCAAAAAGGCATATCTTTGGGTGAGGATTAGAGAAAGGGGGAAAAATCATGACAGTTCAATTTATTAATTCTGTATCAATACTATTTCATCATAAAAATCTTCCTGACTCTAGAAAAAAATGCTGTTAAGTGTTAGCACATGTAATAAATATTGTCTTTCTAAAGCAAAATAAAGATGAATTCTTAAGCTACATACTAATTTTGCTTTTATAAAATTTAGCCACAAACTAATTTTAGGACTTCAACATCCACTGCAAGCAAAGCAAATGACAAGAGAAGATGGAATGATGCCCACAGCATGTAACTTTATCTAGAAACAGAATTTTACTTAATACAGTCAATTCTTGTTATTCATGGCACTTGTGTTATGTAGTTACCAAGAATATTAACTTAGTGAATATTAAACCACTGCTTCTGAGAAATACATAACCTTGTTTTATATGTGTTTCTGTTTAAAGACATCTTATTTAACATATACAGTTGATTCATTACCAATGCACTCCAGCCAACAGCACTCTTAATTCATGCCTGAATGAAGCTAATCCAACCACATTTTCTCTGTGAGGCACTGATAGCACTGTTGCCTGGGGAACACCAGGCAGCACTTCAGCACTCTGCTTGGGGGTCATTTTAAACAGCAAAATCACCAACTAGAAGCACAAAAATGTGAAAAATGTGGCACTAAATAAAGAACATGAAAAGGACACTTGTCTATAGTATGAGAGCTGAAGCAAGAAGGCACAGAACATGCACATCAGACAACTCAAATTTTTCACCACGGTGTGCATGTCTGAGAATGACTACAAAAGTGTTGCATGTATTAATTAGAGATTATAAATAAATTTTCGCCAGAATTCACAAATATGGAACCTGTGAAAAGTGAGGATCAACTGTATATCATTTTCTCTTCTGATTCAAAGCCATGTTATTAGACATTTTTTAATTTAATTATATGTTAGCATGTTTTTCAGTATAATGATCATGAACAGGAAATTTTTCCTTAGCCAAAGGACAAAACTATTTGAAATTAAGTGAAAGTCAATCACATAGGAGTCAGAAAGCAAAAACATTTTCTTAAAGACCAAATCTCTTGGCCATAATAAAAATTACCTAGTTTTCAATTCCTCTGGGAAATTGTCAGAATCCTCCTAGTCAAAATGATTCAACATTTTTCACCCATTTAAAATATTTGCTATTATAATTCTCTTCCATAATAAAATAAGACATAGTACTTCAAAAATTATCTCCTGATGAGAACTGGCTATATAGTTCAATGAACTTGCTTGTCATCTTATACTAATGCAATCTCTAAATTTCTCAGATGACTAAACCTAATCCACTATCTTATGAAGACACTGAGGTTTTTAAAAATTATTTTAAATTACTGCATTTTATAGCATTAAATTATTTTCCAAGTAATAAGAATAAAAATATACTAGGACCATGGCCTGCAAACTGCGGCTAGCGAGCCACATGCGGCTTTTTGGCCCCTTAAGTGTGGCTTTTCCACAAAATACCATGTCTTGGGAGAGTCTATTTTGAAGAAATGGCGTTAGAAGTTTAAGTTTAAAAACTTTGGCTCTCAAAAGAAATTTCAAT